ATCACTTGTCTTATTTTCTAATGATCAAACATGCATAGAGCATGAGTTAGATGGCTGGCTCTGTTCCTAGTCCCTTAAATCCTAGCTCTCCTCATTCTCGCAACCTTCAGTTTACAGATGAGGAAACTGAGGCACAGAGAAGTCAAGCATCTTGTGCAGGGCCAGGATTGGGACCCAAGCAGCCTGCTCTAGAGCTGGGCTCTGACCCTCCACAAAAGCCATCATTGAAGTTCCACTTACCCCTGCACCTTCAATCTCTTCCTCTCTCCCTCCCTCCCACATGTTCACAGATGAAATCTTCTTTTCTGATTTAAGAAAACAATATAATGACCAGCATGGCAAACAAGGCAAAACCTTGTGTCTATTAACAATAGAAAAATCAGACCGGGTGTGGTGGCTCACGCCTGTAATCCCAGCACTTTGGGAGGCCGAGGCAGGTGGATCACCTGAGGTCAGGAGTTCGAGACCAGCCTGGCAAACATGGTGAAACCCCATCTCTACTAAAAATACAAAAATTAGCTGGGCGTGGTGGTGGGTGCCTGTAATCTCAGCAACTTGGGAGGCTGAGACAGGAGAACCGCTTGAACCCAGGAGACAGAGATTGCAGTCAGCGGAGATCGTACCACTGCACTCCAGTCTGGGTGACAGAGTAAGAGTTCACCTCAAAAAAAAAAAAAAAAGAAAGAAAAGAAAGAAAAGAAAAAATAGAAAACAATATAATAGCAAAAATTAGTACAGAGGTTGGTTTTTCTTTTTTTTTTTTTTTTGAGACTGAGTTTCCCTCTTGTTGCCCAGGCTGGAGTGCTGTGGCTCAATCTTGGCTCACTGCAACCTCTGCCTCCCAGGTTCAAGTGATTCTCCTGCCTCAGTCTCCCAAATAGCTGGGATTACAGGCATGTGCTACCACATCCAGCTAATTTTTTTTTTAGTTTTTAGTAGAAACGGGGTTTCACCATGTTGATCAGGCTGGTCTCAAACTCCTGACCTTAGGTGATCCATCTACCTCGGCTTCCCAAAATGCTGGGATTACAAGCATGAGCCACTACACCTGGCCTGGTTGGTCTTTCTGAATCATGACTTTAAATATGTCATTTCCTTGTTCAATAAAACCTTGAGGCCAGGCACAGTGGCTTACTCCTATAATCCCAGCCATTGGGAGGGCGAGGTAAAAGGATCAGTTGAGCCCAGGAGTTCGAGACCAGCCTGGGCAACATAGTGAGATCCCGTCTCTACCAAAAATAAAATTAACCAGGCATGGTGGTGCAGGCCTGTAGTCCCAGCTACTTGGGAGGGTGAGATGGGAGGATTGCTTGAGCCTGGGAGGTTGAGGCTGAAGTGAGCCATGATCATGCCACTGAATTCCAGCCTGGGCGATAGAGTGAGATTCTGTGTCAAAAATTAAATAAATAATAAAATAAAATAAAGCTTGAAACTCCCCATTACTACCCCGCCTTGTACAAACAGAATAAAGCCTATCATAGGGCTAGAGATTTGAGGATGTTACCCCAATAAGTCCCCCAGCTCCCCTGGGGAGCCCCTTACTGTTTCTGATTCCCCTGAGGCACTCTTCCCCCAGTCCTCAGCCACCCCAGAACTGCCCGTCCCCTCTTGCCCTGGGGTGAGTCTGAAGGGACCTCATCCTTGAAGAATGGCTTCTACCAAATGTGTCAACAGGGACAGAGATGACAGACATGACACATGAATGAACAAATGAGTAACTGTGGAACTGAGCTGCCTTATGTGGTGGAAATTACTTCATTAAACAATACTTGTGGAACACTTAAGGCTAACACTAATAGCTAACACCAAGAGCTTACTGTGTGCTTATGGTCATCAAACATGCATAGAGCATGTATTAGATGCCTGGCTCTGTTCTAAGTGCCTTGAAAATCCTACCTCTCGTCATTCTCACCACTCTCACAACTCATCTCTCACAATCTCTCATACAGCTTTTAGATAGAGGAGCTGGGATCTGGAGCACAGCGGCTTGACTCTGTAGCCTGGGCTTTCAACTACCACACCTAACCATTACCAGATCCCAGAGGAATGTTACACGAATGTTTAATATTTGAGTAATGTTGGCTGGGCACGGTGGCTCAGGCCTATAATCCCAGCACTTTGGGAGGCTGAGGCAGGCAGATCACCTGAGTTCAGGAGTTCAAGACCAGACTGGCCAACGTGGTGAAACTCTGTCTCTACCAAAAATACAAAAAGTAGCCAGGAGTGGTGGCGTGCGCCTGTAGTCCCAGCTACTCAGGAAGCTGAGGCAGGAGAATCGCTTGAACCTGGGAGGCAGAGGTTGCAGTGAGCTGAGATTGTGCCACTGCACTCCAGCCAGGGCAACAAGAGCAAAACTACACCTCAAAACAAAATTTTTTTTTAAGTAATGTCCAAAGACCACCTCATGGGAACATATACCCTAGTTACTTGGGAGGCTGAGGCAGGAAGACGCTTGAACCCAGAAATTCAGACTGTAATAAATCATGATCATACCACTGCACTCCAGCTTAGGCAACAGAGAGGGACCCTGTCTCCAAAAAAAAGTTGGGGGGACATATAAGCAATGTCAAGGTAATGGAGTCCAACATCTGAGAAACATCATAGCACTGACAATGTCAACATGTCTGAGGAATATAAGGATTTTGTATAATGCTGTACTTTACTCAACCAAATACTTATCAACCCACTACATCCATGTCAGGCACTATTTTAACCCACAGGTGTAGGGCAATGACACAACACCCCAAAACTCCTCCTCTTCTGTAGCTGACATTCTCATGGGAGAGAGAGAGAGAACTAAACAAACAAACCAACAAACAAAAAACATATCAGAGGTGACAATTGACACAGAAAACATAAAGCTTAATCAGAAAAAAGGGACTGTCCAATGTACTGGATGGGGGTACGTGGGTGGCATTCCTACTTTGTTAAAGATCAGGAAGACCACCCCTGAGACAATGTCTGAGCAGAGTAGTGAAGTTAGTGAGGGAGGGAACCATGCAGTGATCTGCAGAATTTCCAAACAAGACACGGCCAGTGCAAAGGCCCTCAGCTAAGGGCATGCTTAGCCCCGTCTAAGGAATGGCCGAGAGGCCTGTGTGGCTGGAGCAGAGTGTATGCGAGAGAAGGAATAGGAGGGATTCACAAACATGAAAGTGCTGAGGCTGATGAAAGTCAGGCTCTGCGTAGTGCCACGTCTGGGAAATATTAATAACTACAACTGATGGAGTGCATTCCACACACCTGGCACTGTATTCAGTCCAACTCACACCAAAACTGCTACAGGAGCTTAGAGTGTAACAGGGAGTCAGTCAAAGAAACTTCACAGCGCCACGTGACAGGCTAGGGAACTAAGAAGAGGAGCATCTAACTCCAACACGGGGAAGGAGGCTTCCTGGAGGAGGTGGCATTCAAGCTGTCAAGCAGGAGAAGGAAAACACTTCCAGGATGCAGATGCAGAGAGGGAGGGAAGGCCAGAACCTGGACCAGCTGGTCAGAGCTCCAGGAGCAGTGCTGGGGACCAGGGCATAGCTTGCTGGAAGAAGAGCTCAGGTTTGCAGAGTTGAGAGAGCCTCTGGACACGGAGGCCCAGGCTTAAGTGTGTTTGTACACAATTGGTGGTTATGGAGTGGAGGACAAAGGGCAAAAAGGGATGGGATAAAGACTTTGATAATTAGGCCAGGCGTAGTAGTTCATGTCTGTAATCCCAGCCCTTTAGGAGGCTGAGGTGGGCGGATCACTTGAGGTCAGAAGTTGGAGACCAGCCTGGTCCAGTGCATTTCACATGGTAAAACCCTGTCTCTACTAAAAATACAAAAATTAGCCGGGCGTGGTGGTGCATGCCTGTAATCCCAGCTACGGAGGCTGAGGCAGGAGAATCACTTGAACCCGGAAGACAGAGGTTGTAGTGAGCCAAGATTGTGCCGCTGCACTCCAGCCTGAGCAACAGAGCAAGACTCTGTCTCAAAAAAAAAAAAAAAAAAAAAAGGCTTATAATTTGTCTGCCCACCGGGCCCTGCTTTCTCAAAGTCTTTAGGTGGGTCCCTGGGCAGTGAGAGGGAAGCAGAAGGTAAGTGGCCACCCCCACCTGTCCCAGGTCTTAGTTCCTCATCCCATCATAGCAGGTTCAGATCCTTCTTTTAGGCAGATCTGTGGGTCCTCGCTCTGGGGCAACCCAAGACATTCTGGTAGGAGACTCCTCAGTTAATAATACCTCATATACTTCCAGCACTTCGTGGTCTTTTATGTGCTTTTACTGCCATAACCTGTGCGTCTGACAGTCAGTCTAGGATGGACAGAGCTATTCTAAGCCTTTTTCAGGAGATGCTGCAGCTCAGAGAGGTTAAGGGCCTTGCCAAGGCCACGTGGCCAGTGGGTGACTAAACTGGGACTTGATCCCAGCTCTTGAGATTGCAAACCCCACAGTGACACTGCGGCAGCTACAGAAAACGGGGCCTAATGATGGCTGGGTCACAAGGACACGTCTGGGGAAGCGAGGAGAATGAGCTCTGGCATGAGAGGAATGGAACGTGGGGAAGATGGAGACGGGGTGATGGAAGCTAAGCGTGGAGGCAGGAAGAGAGCTCTGGCAGGGGTTGTAGAGGCTTTGAGACAGAACTAGCGGTGTCTCCAGAAAGACCCCATGAAATGTCCCAGCAGGGTTGAAGGAAACAGAAGAGGTGTCCTCCCACCCCATGTTTCTGTGAACCAAGGCAGGGAGGGACCTACTGTGTGCATTTCACAGGCGAGAAAAAGGAGCAAGGAGAGGTGGCTATTGGCTTGCCCCAGACCCACAGAAGCGCAGGGCCCAGGGGCCCTGTTAGCAGCGGGTAGCACAAGCGAGACTTCCAGACCTTCCCCTCCACCGCGGATGATGAAATAGATGATGAGAGGAGAGGTGGGGATGGAGACAGAAATCAGGGCCGCATCCAAAGAGGGAGGGGGAAAAGGCAGAGGCGCAGCTGGAGCTGCAGAGAGGTGCAGATACGGTGGAGAGATGAGGCCCTGACGCCTGGCTCTGGTTTCACGCGGGCAGTGTCAGCTGGTCGGTGTCACGGAGTTCCCGCGTCCCCCGCCCGCTCAGCCCCCGCGGATCCATCCACTGAGGTTGCTCCGCAGCGCGACGCTCTCTTATCCCGGGGGAGGGCTAAGGGCGGCGGTCGGGGGCGCAGTGGGGAGAGCGGCGGGAGGGGGCGGTGCACGATCGCCGCCTCCAGGGCTCGCAAATCCGCAGCGTCCTCCGCAGCATCTTCCCAGGCCCGGCCCCCTCCTCCCCCCGCGCCGATGGTACGCGCCGGCCCGGCCCGGCTGCAGTGGATGTTGCTAGAACCCACGCGGTGGAAGGAAGAGACGCAGGCAGGCTGCGGCTACCCAAGCGGCCGCCCCGGCCTCAGAGACCCCTTCCCCGAGAGACGGCACCATGACCCAGGGAAAGGTACCGTCATCTCCCCCGCCTGCACCATCCTCCATCCTCCGGCTCCCGGATCCCTGTCATCCTCAGCAAACCCTCTGGACCACGAAAGCGTCCTCCCCTGGCCCTAGGTTGAAGGTCCTCAGTGGTCCTTGCTGAAGTCAGAGGACCGAAAGGCCGGTGTCAAGGAATGGACCGGGCCTCTTCCAGCCCGCAGGCGCGCCTCTCCTCCCCTGTCTCCCTCCCACCCCTGCTTTGGCATCACAAGGCTCCTCCCGGATACCCAGGCCCCCTGTGAGGAGTCAGCCCGGGCGTCCGGTGTGACTGTATGTGTGTACATGGGTATGTGTGTGCCAGGATGAGTCCTGAGGGGCAGTGCCTATAGGGCAACCCCCTCTGGCCCAGCCCTCCAATCCCAGACCCAACCACTTTATGCTTATCTTTTCCACCCTCCACAGAAACAACCCCCACCCCGCTCCCTGCCATTATTCCACATCTGGGCATCTTGGCTCCATCCCTGTGCTTGGGGCTTGCTATGACAACCCTGCATCGGGATGCTGTAATTGTTTTGGTTCTGGCCAGGCATGGATGGGTCCGGATGAAGCATCTCTTCTTCTCCAGTTTTAGGCCTGAATTGTAGGGGAGGGGCTGGGGCAGAGACTTGGCTGGCCTAGTAGGCTTATGTAACATCAATAGCCTGTGGAATTATACAACCACTAGGGCCTGGGGCTAAGGGGGAGGGTCCTCTGGCCCTCTGTTTGGGTTGCTAAGGATTGGGCAGAGAAAACAGGGCAAGGACCTACCCTACACTCCCCCTTCTTCTCTTTGAGAGGAGCTTCAGAGCCAATGGCATCCTTCCCTGGACCCTCAGACCCTCCTCTCCCTGTGTGCAAGCTCTTTGGGCCTCAAATGATGTCATTGGATGATACCACCTCCTGCCATTGATCACACCTCACTTGGGAGTGCCGTATGTGTGTAGGGGGCGCTGGGCATTAGGGTTCAGGAGGCTTTGAGGGGCGGAGTGGCAGGGTGGGGGCTGAACTCGATTTTAGTGGGCATGATCCTTCAGATCCAGGTGATGACGGGGGCTGGGGAGTGGGAGGGAGTGGGAGGCCTGGGGAGTGTTCAGTTTGGTAAACATGGAGAACCCACCCCTTCTGCTGAATCTCCTTCCACCCCCACCCCCCCTCCACCAGGCCCTTTAGTGGCGCTGTTCCCTTCCTGGCGTGAGGGAGACCTCTGCCTCCTCTGCCCCTTGTCCCCAGCTCACTCACAGGCTTGCTGGCTGACGGAGGAGACCGCTCCAGTTCCGTGGTCCTTGGGCCTGGATGGAACCAGAAGTCTTGTGGCGTGCCCATCACCAGGCTGCCTCAGCCAAACGCCCCTGCAAAGAAGGAAGTCCGCAGTCTTCCTCAGTGGCCCTTTGGGTCTAACACAATCTTCTGGGAACCACACCTAAATCCCATTTTCTGAGAACCGGACCTTTTGTTGCTGTTTCAATTTCACACCACCCCCTCCACCCCAATCTTCTCTGGCTGCCTCATTCACTTCCCAGCTCAAATCCTCCCACCAAAGCTAAACATGTCCATGGGTTGGGGGGCAGGGGACACATCTGAGTGTAAATGGACTCGCGTTTCCAAACTGCCATGGGGACATTTCCCTTTGAGCCTCAGTTTCCTCATCTGTTCAGTGAAGGAAGAGACTCAACTGGATGTCTTCTGAGGCCCCTTCCACTGGGTCACTCTGTGAGTCTGTTCTGGTTTAGGGGAGAGGCTGAGATTCCTACAGGATGAGGCCAGAACAGACCTTTAGCCAGGATCCTCTTGCCCTTCCTCCATCCTGAAGGCCCTTCCTCTTTTCTGTTTTCTCCCTCTCCTCTTCCCTTTCTGTTGCCCTTCTCTCCCTAATCTCCATCCTCCTTGCATCACTTCCAGCCCAACAGAAGGAGACCAATCCCAGTGGATGGTGCCTAGGCCCTGCCTCTCAGTGGGCCCACATGCAGCTCTGTGACCTCGGATGAATAGCTCTTCCTCTCTGATCCTCATTCTCATTTTAAAGCAGGGGTCAAAATACAACTAGCAAGTCTCAGGAAGATTAAATGACAGGACCTTTTATTTGTAACAGTCTACTACGTGCCAGGCCCTTTTCTGGAACCATAGAGGCCCTGCCCCTACCCCAGGGACAGTGACAGTGACAACCAGTGGTGGGCACTCCTAAGAATTTTCTTTTTCCTCTGTTCCTACCCCAGCTCCACCGTGTGCCCCAGCTAGCTCTGACCCCTCTGGAGCTTAGTTCTCTTGTCTATAAAATAGAGACATTCTTGTCTGCACTCCTGGCTTCCGAGTGCAGATAAGGAAGGACCCGTGAAAGTTCCAGGAATTGAGGAGTTGGTGAGGAGGATTTGGAAGGCTCCCTTTCCCTGGCGACTGTCTCTCCCTCTGCCTCTACTCCACAGCTCTCCGTGGCTAACAAGGCCCCTGGGACCGAGGGGCAGCAGCAGGTGCACGAGAAGAAGGAGACTCCAGCAGTGCCCTCAGCCCCACCCTCCTATGAGGAAGCCACATCTGGGGAGGGGATGAAGGCAGGGGTCTTCTCCCCAGCCCCCACGGCGGTGCCTCTCCACCCAAGCTGGGCTTATGTGGACCCCAGTAAGTCTTTCAGCTCCTGGAAACTGGAGCATCATGGGGTGGGGGTCGACCCGGAGGGAAAACCTGAGTAGGAGGAAGTTGTCCAGAAAGAGGTACACTGTGTGGTTGTATGAAGCTATCTTGTTAGATGCTTAGGATTTGGAGAACTGTTCTGAGGGTAGGTCAGAGACAACTCCATGAAAACGGAAAGAGACACAATGTCTGCATCAGGGTGCTCTCAATAGGGAAATGGGCGTTTTTTTTTTTTCAAGTGACCATGCTAGAGTAAATGGAGGGGACAGATGAGGGAGAAAAGCTAAGGGCTAGTGAAGAAAGACCTCCTAGAAGAAAGAGATACAGAGAAGGAGGGGGCGTATGAAACTGCCACTGGCCACAGCCTTCACTGGGCCTGGCTCAGTGGGGACAGGTCCCCATGGAGGCCCAGGGCTGTTGGGGGATAGGGGGGATCTGGGAATCCACCTCACCAATCACTCTCCTCATCTGTGTTCCCTTCCCCAGGCCCGTGCTGGGGCAGGGGGGCATGACACGGCGAGGGAGTGTGGTTGCCAGCGTCAGTGTCCCCCACAGCCAGGCACACTCACCCGGGTGGATGCCAGATTCCTGCAGACCGAGAATCTCAGTGGGTAGGAGCTGCTCTGTTGGGTCGAGCAGCCTGTGGGAGCTTTATCTTGGGGCCAGGAACGTACAGCTTCCCAAAAGCTCTGAGGAAATCCTCCTCAGCCCCTTCGGCTGCCCTCAGCAGCCCCTCCCCCTCCCCCACTTTATCACCCCACCCCCAGCAGGATTCTAGAAGAGATCCCAGAGACAATGCCCCAGACAGAGCCTCTGCTCACAGGGAGTAGCCACCATGGTCTACACCTCCCACTACAAACCCCCTGGGCGCAGACCCCTGAAGACTCACCCCACCGTGACCTACTGGAGGGTCAATGAAGGTCTGGTGTTTGTGGGCGTCCTCCTCCCCTCCCTACACACCCACTGGCCCACTTTCCCTCTCTTTTTCCCTTCTCTCTGTGGCCTGGCCACGTGGGCTTTGGCAGAGGATGTAGACAGGACACGAGGGAGAAGTGAAGGTCAAGACGGCAAGGGTCTCCGGTCCTTAGGTTTGCAGTGGGTCTACCTCTCTCCCCCTTCCTCATTTCCCATATCCTGGCTGCTAGGACTGCTGCTTTAAGGTATGTTTTCTAAGGAACTGTCGAGGCAGGAAGGCAGCTGTGACAGACATTTACTAAGTGTGTGCCAGGGCACAGGGTCTGCGTCTGGGTTTGTTTCGGAGGATGCACTGATTTGCAAGACCTGCTGGGATCTCTGTCCTCGGAGAGCCGACTGTATAGACAAGTGATTGGACAACTACCACACAGTGACACAAACACAGTGACAGGTGCCTGGGCACCTTACCTAACCCACCTGACAGTCAGGGAAGGCTTCCTGGAAGGAGGGGTATCCACACTGAGTCCCAAACGATAGGCATGAGTTAGCCTGGTGAAAAGGCAAGAAAATGAGTGTTTAAGGCTGAAAGAATAGAATGTGCAGGGGCCCACAGGCAAGAGAATACGTGGTGGAAAATATATACTCAGGTTGAGAACAGGGTCGGGGGGAGGAATGTGTAGTGGAGCTGGAGGGCGCTGCTCAGGGAGGCCGTGGAGGCTTTCTTAAGAAACTTGAACTTGAGTGAAGGGCAGTGGGGAGCCATTGAAGAGCTGAAAGCAGGGCAATGCCGTGGTCAACTTTGAAAGACCAAGTCAGAGGCTACTGCTGGGGGCAAAGGAGATCATGGACACCTAGTGGTGGCAGTGGAGGGACAGAATGAACACATTGGAGGACTTGGAAATGGCCATGATGAGGGACACAAGGAGGGGGGCAGTGTAGTTCCCACCAAAGAGCAAAGGCTTTCATTTCACAGACCTGGAGGTTTTCATGTTTATCTCATTTGGGCCCCAGGAGGTGGGTATCACTAACCAGTATCAGAAGAGGCTCAGGGAAGGCCAGTAACTTTATCAGGGTCACACATCTAGTACGTTCTAGGCGAGGGATCCACCCCTGGGTCTGTTTGACTGTGGAGTCCATGCTCTTCCGGAAGCCTCAGTTCTGGGACTAGGCCTGGAATGGTCATCCTCACTCCCACTTCTTGCCCGTGTCCTGGCTTTATTTCCCCTCCATCCCCTCACCCCGCTGAAGCCCTGATTTCCAGCTGGAGCACCAGCAGTCCACCACAGCCAACCAGTCCCCAGCTCCCAGCCCAAGGGCCTCAGCACAAGCCAGAGTCAGAGCTGGGCACGGTGGCTCATACCTGTAATCCCAGCACTTTTGGAAGCCGAGGCAGGTGGATTGCTTGAGCCCAGGAGTTCGAGACCAGCCTGGGCAACATAGTGAAACCCCATCCCTACTAAAAATACGAAAAATTAGCCAAGCATGGTGGTGTGCACCTGTAGTCCCAGCTACTCGGGAGGCTGAGGTGGGAGGATTGCCTGAGCCAGGGGAAGTCTAGGCTGCAGTGAGCCGTTTCATGCCACTGCACTCTAGCCTGAGTGACAGGAGTGAGACCCAATCTCAACAAAACAAAACAAAACAAAACAGAAACAAAAAGAATGAGCCAGGGTCAGGATCTTTGCTGCTGGGTGGCCCAGAGAGAGTGGCTGGCCCTCTGTGATCCTTGACTGCAAGGGAGCCAGAATGTCCAAGGAGGAGGGTGGGGTGAAGAAGATGGGAGGTTCGCATTCGTATGGCATAGCTTGGTCCCTGGGGAGCCCCAGCCGGGTTGGAGGGAGAAGTAGGAGATGACAGTTTCTTCCCAGGACTCAGAGCAGGAAAAGGGAGAATTGACCAGGGAGAGAGATCTGGGGGTTGGGGTGGGGCTGGGCTGGGTCAAGGCTGGGTGTCTGATAATGGGGATGCAGAGAAAGACTTCAGGGTCCAGAGAGCCAGGCTGACAAAGAGACAGCTTTGAGATGGGGGCTGTTGGGGACAGTAATTCCATGTAGGGGGAACCCTCATGTCCTCCTCCTCCACATGCCACACAGGCAGCAGCTCCAGCTATGACAGCGGTTTCCCCACCGGAGACCATGAGCTCTTCACCACTTTCAGCTGGGATGACCAGAAAGTTCGTCGAGTCTTCATCAGAAAGGTAATGCCCCTCTCTAGCCCTCTGGGACTGGGAAGCTCAGTGTGGGAGCCCCTGTAGAGGCCCCTGGCCCAACCCTCTGCCTGCAGAAGCCATCCCTACCCACTTCTCTTGTGATCCCAGCTGACAGCACCCACTAGGAATTGCTTCCTTAGGTGTCACTCCAGTGCCCCCTGCTACACCTTAGCACACTGTCCCCTCTTTTCTCCCAATGCTAGGGGGTGCGCTTGGCTCTACAGCATCTTTGCTTTCCTTTCACCTTGTCCTGGGTTCACTCCAATGACCCCCAAAAAGGAGGGTGGAGTGCACAGGATGGCGACCTGGAGAGGTGAACGAGTCGCTGAGGGGCTGACAGGTCCCTAACAGGGCTCCCCAAGCTGAGTAGAACCTCCTCCCACCCCCAGGTCTACACCATCCTGCTGATTCAGCTGCTGGTGACCTTGGCTGTCGTGGCTCTCTTTACTTTCTGGTGAGTTGGCAGCATGGACCAGCACCTTCCACGGGTGGCTATGGCCAGGCCTGGAGCTGGGGAACCCATGATCAGACTCCTGCTGGAATGCTGCCTGGAGAGATGCCTGTGGGGCAGTGGGCCTCCTCCTGCTGGGACAGAGCCTTAGAGAGTGCACCAGGGGTCTCTAAGGCGAGGGGTCGTCTGTCCAGCGTGGGGTGGACCCGGGGTGCCTTCTGGGTGTCTGTGTGGCAGTCCTTCTGATCCGAACCACTAACTGCATGCCCAGGCACTTGCAGGTCCCAGCTAGGGACTATGGGCTGGGACTCCCCGAGCCTCCAGGGGCTGCATTCCTTCAGCTTCCTTTCAAGTCCTGTGAACTGTGTGGGACAGATGCAGATGTTGAACCAGAAATGGAGACCTAGGGTACATTCTGACTCTCTCTCCCCCTCTCTCTTCTCTGCAGTGACCCTGTCAAAGACTATGTCCAGGCCAACCCAGCCTGGTACTGGGCATCCTAGTGAGTATATCCCAGTCCCCTTCCAGAGAAGGCTTAGTGGCCAGAAGAGGGAATCTCTGTGTCTTTCTTGACCTAATCTGAGCCCATAGCTTCCCCCATCCCCATAGGGACTGTTCTCACAGATCCCTTCCAGCCCTGCCCCATTCTGCCGGCTTCAGAGCATGGCCAGAAGGACCTATCTGGGGTGTTAAATCTGGTGGAGCACAAAGGAGATGGGGGTAGGTTCTGCTGCCTGCACAAATTGGGAAGGGTTGGGCCAGGGCTGTAGCTGGAGAGACCCAGACCTCGGTCCTAAGAGGCAGTGAGGCTGGAACACTTTGGCCCACACTAATGATAATGTTGCTACTCTTATTAATGTTGTTAGTAATGTTTAGGAAATATTAATCATAATTGCTACCACTTAAAGAGTGCTTAATAAGGGCTGGGCATTGTTCTGTGTGCTTGATGTACAGTATTGCATTCGGTCCTCACATCTACTGGGTATGACTACTTCAGAAAATTAAGGTTCAGAGAAATGAGGAATTTGCCCAAGGTCACACAGCTAGTCAGTGGTAGAACTGGGATTCAAACCCAGAATTCCGGTTAAGGCTTGTGCTCTTAATCGGTCTACTTGGCAGGCTCCCTGCAGCCCTCGAGCCACTTGGCTCCTGCTTGTCCTATATTCTTTGAGGAAACCAGCCGGTAACTTGGGAGAGGAGGTTTGAAGGTATAGATGATTCTGATCCTCCTTTCTGGGTAATTAAGGAGTCATCCTGGATATCTCCACACCAGAACCATCCTGGGGCTCAGAGCAGAACTGCTCTTGCACTCACTGTGAGCCCAGCCCTGTACAGGGGCTGCAGGAGAGGAGGCCTCTGCAGGGAAAGTTATTGGTGGCCCAAAGTAGCATGAACGGATGCAGCATTCGGAGAGGGGAGGAGGGAAGGAGTGAGCCTGTACACCAGCGCATGCAGCCCACATCAGGGGCGCCCCCCAAAGGATGGGCCGTGAAGACTGGAGACAGCGTTCCCAGGAGAGAAGTGGCTTAAGCAAAAGCATCGGGCAAGAATGCACATGGTGCATTTTCTAAACTGGGACTTCTCTGGCAGAGAGGTGGAAGGCTCCATGCAGGAGAATTCCGGGCATCTTGGAGAGCAGTGGGGCCTTGTGGGGTCAAGGCTCTGACTGCCTGGCCAAGGAGCCTACACACTGTGGCTGTCCCAAGTCTGTTCCTGGATAGGGCTCTGGTGGGGAGGTGAGCTCAGCCCAGAGCCCCGTGGACCACGTCGAGCCCACAGTAGCGTCAGAGATGGGCCTAGAGTTCACAGAGGCCCACCAGAGGCTGACGGTAAGGACCCTAGCCTGGCCTCTGGGGGTTCCAGAGTCTTTCCTAGAGCAGAGGGCAGAGGGCCTGTCTGCAGGCAGGTGGGGAGGCATGTGTCTTGGGGGCCTGGGAGGCACTGTACAGTAAAACTAATGAAGCCCCAGAGTCTACCACCTGGGCCAGCCCATGTGGCAGGTTGGCATGGCTTCTGGCACGTCAGCATGTCCTGGCAGCTTTGGGCCCCTGAGAACTTAGGAAGAGATTCTTAGGCCCCTCTCTGAGCCTTCTGGGGGAGGGTCTGTGGGATTCCATGCTCTGAGCAGGTGGTGGCAGGGAGACAGCCCAGGAGTGAGTAGGCCCAGGAAGTGGGGGCAGAGTCCACTCCATTGGGTGGGATGGGGGGATTGGGAGGATGGAGTATGAGAATCTGACCTCTGAATGGTGAGATTTGGAGTCCCTCCTCTTCAGCGTCTCTGGACAGAAAACAGAGATGCTTTCTCTGGCTTCTACCAGGGTGAGTGCTGGCGAAAGTGGGAGGTGAGGTGGGCGTGAACTGGGCGCTTTTCATAGGGTGTCCCAAAGTGTGAAAGGTGCTTGGAGGTTTCACCACTGGGATGCTGTCCTTTTCCTCCAGAAACCCTGCCTGGGGTCCTGCCCTGCCCTGTCCCCTCACACCTCTCAACTCTCTCCATCCTGCCCCCTAAGTCGGCCTCGTGTCTGAGTCCTGGTGGGTCTCACCTCCTGCAACACATCCTGTGCTCCCTGAGGACTCCATCCGGGTCTCTTCCTTTTAGAATAACAATAGGAGCACTGAGAAGCAGACAGCTCTTTTTCTGTATGGAGGGCACCGTGCTAAGCACTTTACATGTATTTTTCACTTGATCTTTCAATAGCCCTGCCAGGCAGACACTACTATTAGCCTCATTTTACAGATGAGGAAAGTGAGGCTCAGAGTAACATAACCAGGGTAGAAATCCAGGTCTTTCTGATGGTGAAACCCATGTACTTGCCCTCTGTGCTCTGCTTCCTCCTTTGTCTTAGAGCAGGACAAGCTGGGGGAAGGCATTGGGTTTGGATGCTGGCCTGCACCTGAGCCTTACTTCCCTGTCCTGACATTCTGTAAACAGACTGTGGTTCCTGCCCAGGCCCTGGGGCTGGGGCTCTGATACATAAATCATTGGCTCTCTCTCTCTGACTTCTTAAGTGACTCACTCCCTGCCCCCTGGGCTGCCAGCCTCCCCCTCCCCGACCCACAGCCCAGCTTTCTCAAGGCCCTTGTTGCCTCCCTCCATCGGTTCTCACCTCACTGTCTGATTGCGCCCACTGAGCCACCGTGTCTGCGGTGGTGGAAAGCTGGTGGGCCAGGAGAAATCCAGGCAGAGGAGGAAAAGTGTGAGACCAGAGCTGGGTGGAGGTGGGTCAGAGCCTTTCCAGGAAGCTGTCCATCAGCCAGCTTCTAATTATCATAACTCTAGTGGGGAGTCCCACCCCTGTGCCAGGCCCACGCGAAGCGCTTGAACTGTGTTGTCTCATCAGTCCTCCCAACAGTCCAGTGAGTTGGTACCAGTATTTCTGTTTTGCTAAAGTGGAAACTGGGTCTTGGCTATCGTCCAAGGTCACACAACAGTAGTGACAGAGCTGGGATGTGAATTCAGGGTGTCAGGCTCCCAAACTATACCACAATCCCAGGGTCTTTGGCCCCTCTGCCCTTCCTCTGGACCCCTTGTCTTGAAAGTTAGAGAGCTATGAACCAGAGAGAAAAGGAGACTGGGCTCTTGCCCTCAGGAAGCTTCCACTCTGGCTGGGGAGATAGAACCCACACCCACATGGACAGGGTATTATTATTAGCATTATTGCTGAGGTGGCTGACCAATGACTCAAGTGAGACTGAAAGAGGGCAGGTTCCGAGTGTTTCCTAAGTTGGGCAGGATAGCTTTGCCATTCTGCACGGAGCAGGATGTTCAGCAACCCCTGGCACCAACTACCAGAAGAGCCCTCCAGTCACTGTGACAACAGTTCCTCCTTATTTGAAAACCACTGAAGACCAGGAAAGGGTTAAATTGAAGGGGTCCTACTCACCAAATCCAATATGCTTGTCTCAACTCCTGCATCTCTTGTTTTTTGGGTTTTTTGTTTTGTTTTGTTTTGTTTTGCATTTCATCCAGAAATATTTGAAGAGCATCTACCAGGCACCAAGCTCTGGGTCAGATGGTGGGAATAGAACATTGATAAGTTGCAGGCTGGCCCCCAGATGCTATACCTGGGTGAGAAGTCACAGGAGCTGGCCCGAAGGGTGCGGCGGCTCAGGCTTTGGTTGAGGTATGCCTGTGGTGCACAGAAGATGCCCCCCTAACCAAGGCCTCAGGTGTCCTTGCCAGTCAGTCCCTTCCAGCAGAGTAGAGTGTGGCAGGCACGTTTCCAGGCAGCAGAGCAGGTTGTGATGAGAGGGGTGTAGTGGAGGGGCGGAGTGCAGTGAGAGAAGGGCTGGAGGGGTGGGTGGGAATGCATTGCCTGATTGCTCAGACAGGGCATTGCCAGGTCTTTGGGAATTTTATACAGGGAAGTCACATGACTGGATCTGCCTGCAGCATGGAGGGTGGAAGGCAGGGGGGCTCCTGCAATACTCCAAGCCAGAGAGAGAGAGAGGTGCCCTGACCACAAAGGGTGGTAGTGGGTGGAGGGAAGAGGGCAGCTTTGATAACTGCCTGGGTAGAAAAATCAACAAGTCCAGGTGGTTAATTGGGCGTAGCAGAGTGAGAGTTAAGGATGATGCTGAGGTCTCCGATTGGGTGACTTAGAGGATGCATGACATTCTCTGCAGGAGGGAATGCAGGAGACGAAGAAGGGGAGACAGGGAGTTCCCCTCTAACCTGTTGAGCATTACTTGTGTCTGAATAGTCATGTCTGCCCAGTTGGTAGTTGAAAATTAGAGACTAGGGTTGAAAAGGAAAATATAGATCAGAAATGTGGGTGAGCAAGTCATGTGGTTGAGTGAGCCCACCTAGGGAGAGCATGGGGGAAGAGCTGGAGAGGACCCCACATCGAGGGAACCACGCAGACTGAGAGAGACCCTGGAGGAACTGAGGAGTGTGAGGGAGGTAGGAGGGACCCAGGGGTCATGAGGAACTAGGGAAACAATGATAGTGACCAGATGTTGAGAAGCCAGGCAAGATAAGGACTGACAAGTATCCACTGCACTCAATAAGGTCCTAGTGATGTGGCAAAGCCAGCTCCTGTTGAGTAGTGCTGAAACTGTGTTTGTTGGGTTGGGAAGATGGAGGAGGGGGCATGGTGAGTGGAGACCACTTTTTCAAGAAGCCTGGCTGCAAGAGAGGATGAAGTGGCAGTAGCTGGAGCCAGGGAAGGTGTTGGTTAAAGATGGAAAACAGCTGAGGAGGCTTGTGTGGGAGGAGAGGTACCAGTGGAAAGATTTAAGTAATGGAGATCCCCAGGCAATTAAAGGGATGGGAGGATTGGCCTGGGATGGGAGGAGAGACAGGAGGGACAGGAGGGCAAGTAGCACCACATGATATTTGCAGGTGGCAGGCAGGGAGCCAAGGGAGCTCACCTCATTTCCAGTCTTTCTGGAACACCAGAGGCAGACTGTGCAGGAAGAGTGAGGGGGCCTGGGAGGTTTGTGGATGGAGGAGGAAGCTTGAAATTGTGGGTGAGAGAACTGAGGAAGGATATGGGGAAAGGATGGCAGTGCCATGTTCAAGGCCCATTGGGGGTTGGAAACTACGCATTGGTGGCACCGCTAACCTAGGTAGGCAGGGGAAAGCTCCACCCTTGGGTCCCCAGCCATCATCTCCCACCTCCTGGACTGGCCTCTGCCTCCACTACTCAGAAAATCTCAGTCCTCCATCCCTATCTCTGAATTGCCCTCAAGCTGCCTGCCAGCCTCTCACTGGACGTGGCCACCTGATATAAAAATTCATCCGACAGGTGCCACTTCCTGATTGTACCAGGTGCTGGCAGGACAGACGAGGGCCTTACCCTTGCTGAGTTTACAATTTAATAGGCTAGACCAACAGTAAAATAACTAACAAGATCTCTCCAGGTAATGATAAGGGCTGAGAAGGGCCTATGTGGGGCAGTGGTTATGAGCAGGGACTCTGGAGCCAGAGTGCCTGGGTCCTCATCTTGCTTCTGCAGCATGGTAGCTGGATGGCCTTAGACAAGTTGCCTGACCTCCCCGTGCCTCAGCTGTAAAGTAAAGATGTGAGGATTACATACATTGATACTCATAAAACACTTTAAACTGCCTAGCACGTGGAAAATGCTGTATATGGGCTTTTAAAATAGCAAGAGTGTCTGAGGAGGCCACTTTGCACTGAGTGGTCAGGAACAGCTGTCTCATGTGACCCAAGATTGCCTGTTTCTAGAAGCAGGCTTTTCCCATCCTTTTGCTCTCTTTTGGAACTGGACCACCACCCTGCCCACTGTTAGGTTCTAGGATAACCGTGGCCTCCCCATCCCATCCCGCCTGGCTGCCCTGTGGGTGAGGGTGGCAGAGAGTGGCATAAACAAGGGGTCTCGGGGAGAGCCCAAGAGAGGCTGGCTGACTCACCCATCCGTCTGTCTCTCACAGTGCTGTGTTCTTTGCAACCTACCTGACCCTGGCTTGCTGTTCTGGACCCAGGTATGCTAATGGCTTGAGGAAGAATTTGTGGGAATATGAGCAGGATCATGAAAGTTCTGGCCCCAGCCCTGCCTGCCACCAGTGAGCTGTGCACCCCTGAGAGGGCCTCATCCCTCTCTGGGCCTCTGTCGAGCAGGCAGCCCCTCCCTCCTTTACTTCGTGCCTCTGAGGTAGGGAGAAGGGGGATGGAGAAGGGAGCAAATGGGGATGTGGCTGAAGGAAGAGGCTCTGAGGAGTGTGGAGGGAGTTGGTCAGAGACCCCCTCACTGCAGCAGTGACACAGCCCCCACCCCCCACTCTCCCCTGAACTCTGTGGCTTGCCTTGCAGGAGGCATTTCCCCTGGAACCTGATTCTCCTGACCGTCTTTGTAAGTGATCTGGGGTGTGCTGAGGACAGATGCTGAGTGGAGATGGAGAAAGAAGGGAAGCAGGGTAGACTGAGGACCAGGAAGACTGGGCTGGGGATGTCCAATGTGAGGTCCCTGGCATGGGGCACCCCACTTCTTCCACAAACACATTCCATCTTCTCTTTCCAAATGGGCTTAATCTCGCCCCACTCCCCATCCACTGTCTTTTTTCATTGTGAATTTTTTTAAGGGGTTTGCCTGAGGCATTCTAGAGCTATGGTAATGAAGAAGAGTGGAGGGTCTTAGAAGCAGGGAGCAGGGCTGCAGAAGAAAGGCACAGCTGGCACAGAGCCTGAAGCTGGCAGTGGGGACACTCCTTAGCCAGGCCTGACTCCTGAAAGTCAGTATGTGTGGGGGTGACAGAGACAAAGAGTTGAGGGGTACCTGCAAGGGACGGGGACCTGGGCTGGACCTTGAGGGTGCCTGGGCCCCCGCAGTCTGAGTTTGGAGCATTCCTTTACCTTGCTTCTCATTTCAGACCCTGTCCATGGCCTACCTCACTGGGATGTTGTCCAGGTAAAGGGAGCAGGTGGAAGGAGAGGAGGACCGTAGGCCAGGCTTGGAGCCAGGCACTGGCCACACCCAAGGGGCGCTGCCCCACACGCCATACTTCCTGGGAGCATGTAGATGGGGCTGGGGCTCAGGAATGCAGGAGGCTTTGGCCTAGGGTCCTCTCCTTGAGCACTCAGCTGGACAGCAACCCCAAGACCTGGCCTGGTAGATAGGGGGAGGGGAGCAAGGTGGCTCCTCCCAAACTGTAGCTTACAAGCCCCCAGACTCATGACCTGCAGTTACTTGTAAACCACCTCTGGGTCCGGCACAAACCCCTCCCCACTCCCACTCCCACCTCCTCAAGATCCTTCTAATTTGATTTTGAGTCTAAGCCTGTTGGGAGGGGCAGGGCCCAGCAGAAAGGCTGGGGAGGCAGACAGAGGGATCTGGGGAAAGGGCACCAGATTAGGGCCAGGGATCCCAAGACCAGGTCCTGGCAGAAGAGGGGGCCCTGCTAGGAGGGTGGGGGAGACCAGACGCCCTGCCTGGGAGCTGACCCCTCGGCTTGACGGTCCTCAGCTACTACAACACCACCTCCGTGCTGCTGTGCCTGGGCATCACAGCCCTTGTCTGCCTCTCAGTCACCGTCTTCAGCTTCCAGACCAAGGTCAGCTTTGGGGCTTGCAGGCAGGGACCCCCGGCCTGAGGCTGAGCAGGGGAAGGCAGATAGGGTGGGGGGGTTCAGAGCTGGGACCCAGGGCTGGGGAGAGAAGTAAAGGGGTGAGTTGGGTCTGGGGAGAGGGAGACAACCTGGTGAGGGCGAGGAGGGGAAGGAATGCCAGGTTCTTGGAGTGAGCACAAGACTGTGGCCTGCTGTATGCTTGTATGCCTGTATGCCTGTATGCCCATACAGGCTTGGCCCATACAGGCTTGGCTGTGGTTGGGGTCCCAGGAAGGTCAGGCCACTCTGGCAGCTGACCCCCTCCTGTCCCCGCAGTTCGACTTCACCTCCTGCCAGGGCGTGCTCTTCGTGCTTCTCATGACTCTTTTCTTCAGCGGACTCATCCTGGCCATCCTCCTACCCTTCCAATATGTGAGTCTCTGGGTCCCCCGGCAGGACCCACAGGGAGGGAGGGGCCCCACTGGCCCAAGGTGCCGTTCCCTCCCCTGCCCACCAGGGAAGTCCAGGAGCCAAGGCCCCACAGCCTGCCATCCTGTGCGGCCCCTCCTGGCACCTATCACAGGCGTGCTGGCAGTGTAAGCAAACAAGGAGGCTTTTCTTGTCAGGCCTGGGTAGCTGCCGGGCTCCACAAGCCACATCCGGCTTCACTTTTCCCATCCTCCTCTGTGGTGTGGAGGTGAGATTGAGGGTAGGGTGTGGAGCATTTAAACCCTGGGCAGGGAAGGGAGTACTGGGGCTCCATGAGGCCCACCAGACCCAGAGGGGCCTGAGGAAGGGTCTTCTGGGGGCTCCTGTGGGATCAGCCAAGTCCAAAGAGGTAGAATCTAGCTGGCCAGGCAGGCGGGAGGTGGGGCAGTGGGGCATACGCACATCCTTAGAGCATCCACCAGCTGGTGGCCAAATCTCGGCTCTTTTAGAGGTGTCCAGCCTGCCCTGGGGAATTAAACTGAGACTCTGCAGGCACCCGGGCCCCTGCATGTGGAGAAGGGGCAGATTGGGGGCATCGCAGAAAGGCCCTGAGATCTGAATCCTGGGAACCCAAGAGATGAGCTGTTGGACTGCTGTTAGGGGCCCAGTGCTTATACCCCTCACCCCTATAGCCACACATGGTGCATGGTCCCCCACTGCCCTTTTCTAGCAGGGCTGTGAGCAGTAGTCCTCACTTCCCCCTCCCCACCTCCATCCTGCCCAACCCCAGCCTCTGGGCACTTGGCGTCCATTCCAGGATGTCAGGATTGGTGCTGGCATTTCCTTGGCTCTTCCCAGGATCCTGTTGACGAAGGGAGGGGCCAGAGCTGGCCTGGGGGCCCTCTGTGTGTCTAGGATGGGGAGGAGTGTTACAGGAAGGGGCCACAGAACTTCAAAGAACCCTTTATTGATCCTGGTCTGGTTGATGGGATGCCTTTGTTTCCGAGTCTTCTGGAGGAGGGCCCCATGGAGGGCCCTAGTGCGGTGCCTCCAGCAGAGTTTTTCCCACAGTTGGCTGCTCCAGACCTGGAGGGAGACTCAGGGGGCAGAGGGTAGGGAGGTGCTGTTCCAGCCTGTGCAGGCAAGCCCACCATCACAGCTGGCAGAGACTCCAGATGCCCCCCACACACACCCCTGAGGTCAAGTCTTTGTCCCCTTCTTCCTGAGTTCTTTGCCTCCAAGGCACAGCCCAGGAGCGCCCTGACACAAGAACAGACAGATCCTATGCTGGACAGGGATGAACGCACCCTGGGAGGTGGGAGCAGCCTCAAGCAGTCCCAGGCCAGAGGGAGGACAGGGCCCACCGAGAGTCATCTTCATCAGCCCTGAGCCCGGGGCTGTGTGCTGCGGGAAGAAGGACCAGGCTGGCGGGGAGTTCTCCCACCGTTCCCACCAGGATCACTCTTATCCCATGCCGCACTTCACCCACCCTGGGCACCCAGAGAATCAGGGTCCACTGTCAGTCCTGGGGCTCCTGAGGGAGCGCTGGGCGGGGCTACCCCATGTACTCCATTCTCTAGACTGAGCCCTCCTCCCTGCCCCTCTGACTGCTGCCCTTTCTTGTCATCCCTAAGTCCGTTTTTCCTCTGCCGCAGGTGCCCTGGCTCCACGCAGTCTATGCAGCACTGGGAGCGGGTGTGTTTACATTGGTGAGTGTGGTCTGGCTCCTTGGCAGCCGCCTTCCCAGCATCCTGACCATCACCCCAGTCCCCTTCTGCTCCCATCTTCCCCACGGCCCTCCTCCCTGGATCCTTGGGAGCACCTGTGGGTAGGGCTAGGTCCAGCGCTGCGTTTGTTTGTTTGTTCGGGGAATTCAACCTAGTTTCCAGGACAGACCAGCTGACCTGGGCAGGAGGGAAGATTGTAACAGCAGGTTGGAAGCTGTAGACAAAGGCAGAGCTGGGAAGAGGCACCCCTTCCTTCAGGGGAGGGGCAGCAGTGCTTGCGGGGGCGGGAGAGTGGGTGCATCCTGGCCATGTGGACCAAGTTAGTAGTTACCCTCCTAGGGGCAACTGGGGAAGACTTCTTGGAGCTACGGGGATTCTAAGCACCCTGAGAGAGAGACACTGTTAGATTGAGCATGTTCTTTGCTCTTCTCACGAAACTGAAAATGTTGATGATGATGATTATGGTTGGGATAACAGTAACAGCTAATATTTATTGAACACTTGCTTCCCCCCAGCCAGCTCTCCATATGCATTTAATCGTCGTCTTAAGTCTATAAGATAGGTTCTACTGTTAATAAATTAAGATGGGGAGGCTGGTCATGGTGGCTCATGCCTGTAATCCCTGCACTTTGGGAGGCTGAGGAGGGTGGATCACAAGGTCAGGAGATCGAGACCATCCTGGCTAACACAGTGAAACCCCGTCTCTACTAAAAATACAAAAAAAGTAACCAGGCATGGTGGCGGGTGCCTGTAGTCCCAGCTACTCAGGAGGCTGAGGCAGGAGAATGGCGTGAACCCAGGAGGCAGAGCTTGCAGTGAGCTGAGATCGCACCACTGCACTCCAGCCTGGGTGAGAGAGCAAGACTCTGTCTCAAAATAAATAAATTAATTAATTAGTTAAGATGGGGAAACTGAAGCTCAGAGATATCAAATAACATGCCCAAGGTCGCACAGCATCCTAGGAAGTGACGGGGCCAATCTGGGAACCTGGACAGTCTGGTGTGAGTCCCCCTTGGGGTCTGAGGCTAAGTGGGGAGTGGCTGGAAGCAGATGCCCAGGAGATGAGATGACCAGGGACAGACGCCTGCCTGGAGCTGCCCAACACTTGCCTTCTGCTCAGGTGGGCTCCACGCACCCGAATGTGATCGTGTTCCAGGACCCACCCAGGTGGGCAAGCTTGTACTGGTGACATCCTCTTGGGAAGGCATTCAAGGTCAACATTTATTTACAATGGAAGCAGTGACCAGACTCTCCCCTTCCTAGCTGGAACGTTCAGCTCAATACAAGTGGCCAGAGTTGCAGCTTAGTCCAGATTCCAGAGGCTTGTGGGCGACAGGCTGGGGGGGCTGAAATGGGGTACGGAATGGGGAGAGAGCAGTGAGCAGGGGTTTTGGGGGATTTGGATAGGGATCAAGCCTGAGGGGGGGGTGTGGCAGGTTCATCCATGTGTCCTTTCCACAGGTCTTTATAGAGCACATACTGTGTGTGATGTGCAGCGTGGCTGCCCAGATGCACATGGCTCCTCAGCAGGGAGAGTGCAGTGCATGGTGCAGAGTAGCACTCAGCCAGTATTGTAGAATGAATAAATGACCTCCAGGCTTGGAACTGAAGGGCTGGGGTCTAGTGAAACTCCCAGCCCTCTTCTTACAGATGAGAAAACTGAACTCCAGAGAAATGGAATTATTTGTCCGTGGTTTCCCGGCAAGATAATGGGTCGATGTGGCCTTGATCAAGACTAAAGTGTCAGCTTATTCCAGGCTACCTAGGACTTCCCCAGTTTCAGCACTGAAAGCCCCACTTCTTGAGGAGCCCTTAAATCCTGGGCAAACTGGGAGCCTGGTCACCTGAAGAGACTAACTTTTCTCAGACCCCGCACCATGCTCTTCCCTCCAGGCAATACTTCCTAAAGAAAGATTTCAAAGGATGTGGTGGGGAATTGGATTAGGAGAGAAAGAGGAGGGCCACATTCGGGAGAGCTAGTCTGGGCAACAGCACCTGGAGGCCCTAGAGGGAGGCATTTGCAGGGGACAGAAGAGGGGTCAAGCCAGGGCAGACAGGCTGGTGATGTTGGAGGCAAGGAGCACCCATGGGGGCCGGCCAGGGAGTTTACTTGGCTTCCCGTGGATCAGGTCACAGTGAGTGTGTGAACCACCTGAGGGAGCCATGCATGCAAGTAAGGCTGGGTGAATAGTAATCCCTTAAATTTGTTTGATAAGCCCTAGTGCTATTAAAATAATAGCAATAGTCCCCACCCTCTGCTCTACCCTTTATGTTTTACAAAGCACTTTCACACCTGTTACCTCCCTGCATCTCCACCACAGTCTGGCCAGGGAGTGGGGGCAGGCAGCCCTGGTGCTGTAAGACTCACTTTCCACATCTGAAGCCCTAGGTGTTAAGGGGCTGGCACAGAGTCTTTTTTTTTTTTTTTTTTTTAACGGAATCTTGCTCTGTCACCCAGGCTGGAGTGCAGCGGCGCGATCTCAGCTCACTGCAAGCTCTACCTCCCGGGTTCATGCAATTCTCCTGCCTCAGCCTCCCGAGTAACTGGGACTACAGGCACTCACCACCACGCCCAGCTAATTTTTTGTATTTTTAGTGGAGACAGGGTTTCACCGTGTTAGCCAGGATGGTCTTGATCTCCTGACCTCGTGATCCACCCTCCTCAGCCTCCCAAAGTGCTGGGATAACAGGTGTGAACCACGGTGCCCGACCATTCTCTCTTGATCCTCTTAAACACACTCTCATCCAGGTTTCAGGGACCTCCGTGTAGCTAAATCCAGGGACCCAAACTCAGTCCTAATATTGATGGACTCCCAGAAGTATTGGATACAACCGTTCCTTCCCTCCACCACCCTCCCCAAAGCATCTTCGTCCCTTGGTGTCCAGGCCACCAACCGCCCAGGCTTTTCTACAGCCCTCTTGATCCTGCAAAGGGCCAACTCTTCTCTTTCTACCCTGCTCCCTCAGGGCCTCAGGCAGCCTCAAAGCTTTGAATGCGATATTTTATGATGATTACTCTAACATTTACATCTCTAGCCTGGATCTCTCTCTCTTGAATTCCAGACTAGAATTTCTGGTTGCCTAATGAGGGTCTGCATGAGGAAGGCTCATAGGCACCTCGGACTTCACATGAATAAAACCAAGCTCCTGCCCCTTCCCCGGGATGCCTGCTTTTCCCAAAGCCTTCCCCATCTTCCTGTAACTCAGAACAAATGCTTTGGTGACACCTTCCACTCCTCCCCTCTCCTCATCCCCCACATCACACCCCAGATCAATGCTGTGGCCCCTACGCCTATCCAGAATCTGACAACTTATCTCTACCCTCATGGCTACTCCCTGTCCCAGCCCCCATAGCCTCCAGCCTGGGTTGATTATTGCCATGGCCTCCTGCAGGCTGCCGCTATGCCCTGTGTCTATGCGGGGCACAGCAGCTGGAGTGTTAGGTACCCTTGTTCCTCTGTTGAGCATCCCGCAATCGCTTCCCACAGCCTGCAGGCCCTCTCTGACCTCCCCACTCTCCTCTGCTGTAGCCACACTGGCTTCGTGCTGCGTGATCATGGCGGGCTCTCTCCAAACCCAGGGCCTCTGCACCTGCCTCTGTCTGTTCTTAGGGACTGCTCATAGTCCTCTCTCCCATCCTTCAAGTGTGTGCAGCTCTGTCCCTCCCTCTTCCTCCCTACTCTATTTCCCTCTCTCTGTAGTGCATCTCATTCTGACACACTGTCTGTTTTTCTTGATGTATTGCTCATTGTCTGTCTCCCTCCAGCAGAATCTAAGTTCCTTAAGGGCAGGGATTGTAGTCTGGCTTGTTCATCACTGCAGCCCCCATGCCCAGAACAGGGACTGGTACATAGTACGTGCCCAGGAGATGTTTGTGGCATGAACGGATCCCCAAGAGGTGTGGCAGGGGCCAGGGCCAGGCCCACAGAGGTACAATCAGAGCAAGGCAGAGAACCCACAGGCTGTGTGGTTGAATTCAGCACTGCCCATCAGTCTTCTGTGAGTCACAGGAGAGGGGGAACTGCAGTGCCAATTATCTTATTAGGAGATCAACACTTCAAAGGTCCCTGGTCGGGATCATCCTGCAGGTTATAGAAACAACAATGGAGAGCACAGGGCCAGTTCCCCTGGCTCCATCCCCTGCCCATGTTCATCTGCAGCTCCCCTGGGGCCCATGGGGCAGGGGAATGTTGATGAGAGGGGCTTTGAGACTCATTCCCTTTCCCTCCTCTCAGTTTCAGGTAGATGAAGGCCCTCAGAGGCCCAGCCCCATAACTAAATCCCTTTACCCTCCCATTAACTCGAACTCAGGAACATGCTGACCTCGTCCTGACCCTCAGGCCTGCAGACTGTGTGGTCCCCTATCTCCAGTGTGTCCCATAACCAGCACCCAGCACCCCCTAGTCTCTCATCTGCCCATCCTGCCATCTCCCACCATACCCTTTGGGGAATTCTCAGCACAGTGGGGGCCACTCCCAGCCCTATAGCCGAGCAGAGCTGCACACTACACACTGCATGCAGGCGTCCCTGCCACGTGTGCTGCCTTGAGGAGACTGTGCGAGAGTAGGGTGAAAAGAAGTGGAGGAGGAGGCCCCAGACCCCGAGGGAGACCCGCCCCTCAACTCCCACCAACCTGAGCTTTGGAAGCGCTGTGAGAATCCAGCTTCGAGAATCCAGTTTCTCTCCCAGAAACATCAGCACCTCCCTTGAGATTCTGCCATCTTTGAGGGCAGGGCCGCCCAGTGGAGGGGGCAGCACCTGAGGGGATGGCAGGCAAGGTTTCTCAGGGCTCTGGTCCAGCTTTGAGGAACAGGACCCTCCTAGGCCTCACCCATGTCAGCCTTAGTACATTCTCAGGGAGCCTTGGGTTTTTGGCCTCACCCCTACCCCAGACCCCTCACTGGATGCCAGAACCCAAATATGCCAGTAGAAGTGGGTGAGCCAGCTGAACAGCCCTGACCTCAGAGTGGCCGAATCCTCCC